AGTGGTTTTCCACAATGGTTTGGTTTCCTGGCTATCGCAACACCATTTACTTAATCCCCACTCTCCCCACTGATCTGCGTAACCACCTTTACCACAGGCTAATAAATTCTTCATTACCTTTCAGTTCGATTTTAAATTTTACTGTGCTCCTTTTGTTACAGCAGTCTTAGAATACATTTTAATAATTTACTGGGTAAATGCCCTTGTGATTATTATACCTCTGAATCCATTCATCCTACTAATGAACTTTAAAGTCGGTCACACTCCCTGCACGCTTAAAAAATATTGAGATTTTTATGGAATCACATTAAATTAATAATTATGGCAACTGGTCTATTCAAATTGTTCTATAATTACTTTAATCTCAATATTTTTAATTTTTCTTGAAAATTATATATTTCATTAAGACTCATTTTAATAGTATGCATAAGCACTGTCTAAATTATTACTTTTTTTTTTTTTTAAGATTTTATTTATTTATTTGACGGAGAGAGACACAGCGAGAGCAGGAACACAAGCGGGGGGAGTGGGAGAAGGAGAAGCAGGCTTCCCGCGGAGCAGGGAGCCTGATGTGGGGCTCGATCCCAGGACCCTGGGATCATGACCTGAGCTGAAGGCAGACGCTTAACGACTGAGCCACCCAGGCGCCCCTAAATTATTTTAATCTACTACGTATTATAAGTCAATTTCAATTATATATTGAAACATTTTATATGACCGCTTTCTTTATTTGTCTCCCTCTACACTCACCATCTTAAGACTTTTCCCAGCTTTGGGGCACCTGGGTGGCTCACTCAGTTAAGCGTCCACTCTTGGTTTTGGCTGGGGTTATGATCTCAAGATCGTGAGACTGAGTCTCACATCGGCTCCACGCTCAGCATGGAGTCCGCTTGAGATTCTCTCTCCCTCTCCCCATGCCCCTCCTGCTTGTGTACTCTCTCTGTCTCTCTCTCTCTCCTGCTCTCTAAAATAAATGGATAAATCTTTAAAAAAAAAAAAAAAAAAAAAAAAAAACAGGGGCGCCTACGTGGTTCAGTCATTAAGCATCTGCCTTCGGTTCAGGTCATGATCTTAGTGTCCTGGGATTGAGCCCCGCATCAGGGTCCCTGCTCGGGAAGCCTGCTTCTCCCTCTCCCACTCCCCCTGCTTGTGTTCCCTCTTCTGCTGTGTCTGTCTCTGTCAAATATATAAAAAATAAAATCTTAAAAAAAAAAAAACAATAAATGGGGGCACCCTGGTGGCTCAGTCATTAAGCGTCTGCCTTCGGCTCGGGTCATGATCCCGGGGTCCTGGGATCGAGTCCCACGCCTGGCTCCTTGCTCAGCAGGAAGCCTGCTTCTCCCTCTCCCTCTCCCACTCCCCCTGCATTGTGTTCCCTCCCTAGCTGTATCTCTGTCAAATAAATAAAATCTTAAAAAAAAAAACAATAAATGTATGTCCTTTGATACAAAGAATAAAGTGAGACAAGTACCTATTCAACAAAGTTTAACTGGTCTCATTCAAAAAAAAACAAAACACAAAGTCTTTATAACGGCCTAAGAAAGTCATGTGCCAAGTGGCCTCTGTTAAGTTTTATCTCATTTCTACTTTTCTCCCCACTGATTACTCCTCTCCAGCCACAACAGACTTCTCAACTATGTCAGGCATACTCCTACCTCAGAGCTCATTTACTTCTTAACCCTCTTCCCAGAACTTGGGAATCCCAGCGATACTCACATGGGCTTGCTCCCTCACCTCCACTTTGTTCAAAGGTAGTCTACTTTTATTACTGTAAGTATCTCTCCTACTAGACTGGAAGCTTGGTTACAGCAGAAGTCTTTGTTTTGTGTTTGTTCAATCATGTATCCCCAGAGTCTGTAATAGTGCCTGGTATATAGCAGGTATTCCAAAACATAAATACATAAATAATTTAAAACATTTTTAAAAATCTCTTGGTTGAATAAATGGGTATTTAAAAGCATAGGCTCTGAAGCCATAATGCCTGAGTTAAAATCTCAGCACCCTCCTCTTACGAGTTATGTTACCTTTAGCAACCTCCTTAACTTCCGTATGCCACAGTTTTCTCCTCAATAAAATAAAAAATAATAGCAATAGTACTTACCTCAGAGGGAAGTTCGGAGAATTAAAGTGGGTAATGCATGTAAAGTACCTTAATTACTTTAATGTTCATGAACAGTAAGTGTAAAATAATGATGACTAATGACTATTATTACTACTTCAATTCATTCTTGAGATATACTTCAAAATCTACCATGTTTAAGTTTTAATTATATCACACAAATTATTACTACTTTGGGAAACTATCACTTTTCTTTATGTGAAAAATGTTATCTTTTATGCTTTTCTCCTTGAGTCCTATTTTGGTAATGCACTTTTCTTTCTTTTGTTCTTGTTTTAGTTTTTGTTTTTGCTATATTCTTTAGTATTCTTACATTTGACAGGCTTATCCTCAACTATTCCTCTATTTTCAATCCTTTTTGTGTCAATTTGCTTTAAGTCTCTCTGTTCTAAAGAACATAGCTAGAAATGAAGGGTAGGCCCTCAGCACAGTATGTCCTATCAGTTCTATCCCATAAACACTAGTAGGATTTCCTCCTCAACAACTTCCCTGTCCTCCAGTAGATGCTAAGGTTGGAGTCATCCAGGAGACCCAGCCTTTGTCACCCTTAGGCACACTTCACACTCTCATGTTAGGCAGCCTTCCTAAGTATTTTTTTAATCCTCTATAAATTCTTTTAAGTTTTCAGTGTGAGGATAGTAATAGGTCAATGGGATTTCTGGTGAGTGAAGGTTGGAGAGAGATTAACACACTGATTGGCTTAGTATACTATCTCAAACCAGAAATCTCTTTACTACATGATAATATCAAGTGCTGCTCTAAAAAGTAAAATAAACCAAAAAAAAAAAAAAGCTATTATTACTTTTCTTTTTCACCCAGATTCAACTTCTATTGTTTCTAGCTCACTGCTAGAAATTCAATTAAATATTATGTAAATGGCAATTACAGAAAAACCTTTTCTTGTTCCTCTATGAAGAGACTGTCAATGCCCTGCAGCCAAAGACCAACAGAAACACACACCTGTAGTTGAACAAGTTTTAATTATTGCTCACTGCAACAAAGAATATAACACAGTATGGGTAAGAGAGAGGTATCTCAGTTAAGAGCCAACTTATAGGATACAGGCTCATGTTAAGTGTTTGGGGGAGGGTTGTGGATGGGATGCTTTCAAGAAGTGGGGGTAATTCTGTGGTTGAGTATCTAGAAGGATAGAACACTACAGTAAAACTAAAGTTGTAAATAGTAAAGCAACAGCAATTGCTCATATTAGCCAGGACATTAGTGTCTTTGGTATTTTGGGGGGCTTGCATGGTGACTTTGTTTTTATATGTGCTTAGACAGTTTATGAAGTGACCTTATATTTGTTTTACTTCATCACAGTCACAGAATGGATTTATCTGATGTTGATGTTTTGTGAGATTAGAGTCAAAAGGAAAACAGCAAGGTCCAACTGTGAATACAAAGCTGTTTCCAGATTCAAAGACTACTTTTCCCTCTCAAGTTTTTAAGGTATGTTTCAACTTAATGCTTTATAATTTCTCCTGATATATCCCATTATGTCTTATAAAAACAAGATCAGGCGCCTGGGTGGCTCAGTTAGTTAAGCGACTGCCTTCGGCTCAGGTCATGATCCTGAAGTCCTGGGATCGAGTCCCGCATCCGGTTCCCTGCTCCACAGAGAGTCTGCTTCTCCCTCCTACCCTATCCCCTCTTGTGCTCTCTCTCTCAAATAAATAAATAAAATAAAAACCCTTAAAAAAAAAAAAAAGAAACAAGAAGATCTGGTGTTTTCACTGTTGTTCAGAAAGAAATGCGAACTAATCTATGAACTTAGTATAATAGGCCAAATACATGCATGCATTTGAAGATAACACAGGATGTTCAGAGTAGTTATACCGACTAACCATGAAAGCAATAGAAGTGGTCATCTAAGTAGTGGGATAAGGAAAACACAAACAAAAGCTGCATGATCCAAAAGAATTTTCTTTTCACTTTGATAAAAATAACCACACTACACATAAAGTGAATATACAAATGAACATGCATTTAAAAACACGTCATTGTTTCCCTCTTACTATGAAGGATAATATTAGGACAATTTCTACAATCTGAATAAGATACAGGGATTAGATAATAGCATTGTATCCATGTTAACTTTTTGAATTTTAAAATTATATTGTGATTACGTAACAATACCCTTGTTTTTAAGGAAATACACACTAAAGTATTTAGAGGTAAAGGATCATTATGCCTGTACCTAACTTAAACAATGCAGAGAAGAAAATTTATGTGTACATAAGCAAAAGAGAGAATGAGAATTAACAAAAAAATGTGATCAAATGTTAACTTTGAGACAATCTAGATAAAGGACATAAAGGAATTCCTTTTACCATTTTGGTTATTTTTCTCTAAGTCTGACATTATTTCAATATAAAAAGTCAAAAAAAAAAAAAAAAAGTCCAGCCTCAAAATTAGATTTGACAAATATCAGCATCCCCAAGTTAAAGATGGAGAAAGTAAAAGTCAAAACAATCATACAATTAATTAGAAGAGAGGTGAAGCTGAAGTTTATTTTACTCAAATCTGTAGTTTACTTCTCACAGAAAAGGTTAACATTTCAACATAATGATGAGTGATTCATCAATAGATTATAAAGATCCCTGAGAAAAACAATGTGCTGATTATTCATAATTTCATCTTACAGTATTTCCTTCCTCTCAAGGTCTCATGTTACTAGCATTCAAAAAAAATGTTTTTGACTCTTCAATGAGCACATAAATAGCTGTTTATGCATCAGAGCTATCTAAGTCCCAATCAATGCCACAGCACTCAAAACAGTTAAGTTTGTGACAGGACATTCCAGTAAACTAATCTATGACTTTAAAACTCAGATGTTATATTCATTGTACCACGAAAGCATACTGCTAAATATATCATTTACCTGAGAACTGCCACTGAAACCAGGAGGTTGGCTGTATTCTGTAGAATCAATAATACTACTGCAAAATGAAGAGAGAAAAATATGATTTCAGTGTTTACATTATTCTAGCAACAGAAAAAGTAAATCTAAAATACATCATATCTAAATCCAATATTTCTAATTTCTAAGCAAAGAAAACATTTATTGCCAATAATTTAGATACCAAATAAATGCATAACCCATAAACAATCAGCAAATAAACAATTTATAAACCCTTCACCTCATCACCTTAAACAAACACACCATGAAAGAATATCAATAGGAAATAATCACAAAACAAGTGTATACAGAAATGTATCTGCTTCAATTTCATTTTCAGATAGGAACACTATTTAAGGAAAAAAGGACTTAAGAGTATTAGGAAAAGAGCACAAGCAAGCAATCAAAGTTACAGTTAAGAGGTCCTGTTATGCCACTAAAAAGCTATGTGTCCTCAGACACATACTTTGTAACCACTCCGTTTCCTCATCTTCAAAGTGAGATGAGTGGGGACTATCTCTAGATTATCTAGAGTCCCTTCCAGGTCCAAAATGTTACGATAAACATCTCATGTGAAGGAAAATTACCAAAGGAACAGAATAAATGATAAAATACCAATAATCTTTTTTTCACAATCCAATACCTATACACTAGTTTTCTCTACCTGACCAAAACCATAATCTGCTTTCTGCATTGGTTCTTTTTATTTGGTTGTAACGTCTCTGCATTTTCCTACATAAGTTTAGAAAAATCTCTGAAACTATGTTTTTTTCCTATTAGTTCTATCTTTACCATGCCTATATTCTTCTCATCTTTAAATAAATTAGCCTATGAAGACCATTAACACCTGAAAATGGCAAAACATGTATCAACCATGATAAACCAGTTATTTACATTTTTAAAAATTCTTCTTCCCTATTACCACTACAAATAATATTTAATATTGTCTACCCTAATGAAATTTAGGCAAGTGAAGGTATGGATTAAGTTGTCTATACACAAAATCATTCTTTAGTATTCAAATAACCCCAAAAATTATAACATGAGAGGCATTCTTAAGGGTACACAGAGTGGGTGTGAATTTTACCCTTGAGCAGCTAAATGACTCTGGGCAAGTTGTTCATCTTATTTGATCTCTAGTTTCTCCATCTATTAAATAAGGAAGAGACTTCAGAGAGGTGTGAAATTCAAAAAAGTATGTTCTCAGTATAATTCCAAAAAAAAAAAATGGTAAACATTTGATATACTTTACCCTCTATTAATACAAAATTAGTCAATAAAACACAACCTCACATTTTAAAAAGTAAAAAAAAAAAAAAAAAGTACAATAAATCAGATGGAACTGTCCTCACGATAGTCTTAAAAAACGCAACACATACTAAAAAAAGATCTTAATTCCTTGTGTTTGTAACTGTTCCTACAGTAAGGCTCAATTATACAAGAAAGAGCCTTCAAAGCACTTAGACTACAAATTAAAGAATTAACACAATCTTGTAATGGTTTGCTTTATGGGAAATATAACAAATGATCACTGTCCTTACACAGAGTCATGCACTGGCATGACTAGATCATGTGCTACTTTTAGTATACTCCATCTAGGGACTAACAAGACTAAAAATGAAAAAACATGCAATCAAAATCTCTCTATCCGGGGCGCCCGGGTGGATCAGTTTAAGTGTCTGCCTTCGGCTCAGGTCATGATCCCAGGACCAAGCGCCACGTCAAGCAGGGTCTCAGGCATCGGGCTCCCTGCTCAGGAGGAAGTCTGCTTCTCCCTCTCCCTCTGCCTCTGCCTCTCTCTCTCTGTCTCTCAAATAAATAAATAATAAATCTTTTAAAAAACCAAAATCTCTCTGTTCCTTTTACTAATGAAATCTAATCCCCTAGCATTTTTATAAACATTAATAAAATTATGTAGCTGCATATTTAGAAGTCAGTAGAATACAGCATTTATTTCTTATGGTATTATAATTCAGATTTGATTGTAAGCCTGAATAATGATATTGATATATCAGTGTCTACAGTGAGATAACACTACATACCAAATACATATTTTTAAAAATACCCATCAATTTAGAAAAGAAATTGAAATTACAGGTTTTAAATGGTATTTTATTAATAATGACACAGTTTGAAACTTATGTTCTATCAGATCTTAATCTTATTCACTAGGGAAAATTTATTGATGCATACAAAGACTACAACAGAAGAAATCTGAAAAACAAACCTCCTTAATTATTCTCTATAAAATGTGTGTTGTATACAAAGTAACATAAGTAGAAGAAAATATTAAAAAGCACTGACGGTCTGGGTCCTCTTGATTCTGGTGCTATACCACTTCTTAACTCTAAGTCAGCCACAGTCACCAGATGGTAATGACAACAATGACAGAAGCACTATTATGTACTAGGCACTGACCTAAACCATTTAAACCCTCTTAACTCTAAGGTAGATACTATTATCATTCCCATTTCTCAAATCAGGCACAGAGAGATTATGTATTTGGCCCAAAGTAACAAAGTTAGCCAACAGCTGAGTTAGGATTCAAACTCATGCATAGGCTCCAGAACCACCATGCTATAATATCTATATTCCCTAGGCACATCATGTTCTCTAACTGAAAAGGGGGGAAATCTCCTGGATTAGTTCACCCCAACTCACAGACATAATGTAAGGAGAAAAGTAAAGAATAGCAACCTATGAATATGAAAGAGAAACTATTATTTAAAATAAATGTCATTAAAGTTATAAAACTTTAATAAAAACATTATAACAGCAAGGTCAAGAAGAAAATTTCAGCGTAGTGACTAAAACTGATTTAAGAATAAATACACTTTAATCAAGACAGGGAAAATGAGTTGATAAAAAAAAAAGAAATCCCAATGTGTTCACTGGGAAAATGAGGAGCTTAGCTAAAAACATAAATGAAAACTAGGCAGCGTTAACCCGAATTACAAGGGAAATTCACAGCTGTGCAACTAGATGTCACACAACTACTCTCACTCAAACATTTGCCTCCAAAAACAAAGGTATATTTCATAATTAAAAGGCAGACTAGTAAGTCAATTTCACATAGAAGCTATATCCATAATGAATAAGTAGCTTAGAGAAAATAGTGGTTCATTCTTGGTAAAAATACTAGATGACTACCTTTTGATTGGGCTTTTATTTGAAAAAGATGGTTCACATTTAAATTACCAATAGATGCATTAGCTAATTAAATTATAGAGAATTTTTTATTCTGTGAGCAAACTACAGCATATTAAGATCATTTAAGGCCGGGGCGCCTGGGTGGCTCAGTTGGTTAAGCGACTGCCTTCGGCTCAGGTCATGATCCTGGAGTCCCGGGATCGAGTCCCGCATCGGGCTCCCTGCTCAGCGGGGAGTATGCTTCTCCCTCTGACCCTCCTCCCTCTCACGCTCTCTGTCTCTCTCTGTCTCTCTCGCAAATAAATAAAATCTTAAAAAAGAAAAAAAAAAGATCATTTAAGGTGAACATTAGGGGCACCTGGGTGACTCAGTCGGTTAAGCATCTGCCTTTGGCTCAAGTCATGATCCCAGGGTCCCGGGGATTGAGCGCCGCATCAGGCTCCCTGCTCAGCGGGGAGTCTGCTTCTCCCTGTCCCTCTGCTTCTTCCCCTCCCCACCTTGTGCTCTCTCTCTTTCTCTCTCTCTCTCAAATAAATAAAATGTTTTTTTAAAAATCATTTAAGGCTGAACATTAAAAAAATAAATGAGGGTTTTAAATAAATAAGGAAACTGTATGGACAAAAAATTGCTATGTACACACATGAAATTAGACTAACTGCTGCTATTCATTTGTTCTTTCATTTGTCTCAATTTAAGACAGAGAAGAATAAGCCTCTACATTTAATAAACTATATGAGGCTAGAGCCAAAACCTGTTCCCTTGCAGTATTTTACATAAAAGTATTAAACCAGTCCCCCAAAACAAAGCATGCTAAGCAACATGTAACCTGAAAATAATTTGATTTATAAATTTTAATGATTAATTAAAATCAAATACGGTTTTAATTACTTTTTTTTTAAGATTTTATTTATTTATTTGACACAGAGAGAGCACACAAGCAGGGGGAGCTGCAGGCAGAGGCAGAGGGACAAGCAGACTCCCTGCTGAGCAGGGAACCTGATGCAGGGCTTAATCCCAGGACCCTGAGATCATGACCTGAGCAGAAGGCAGATGTTTAACCGACTGAGCCACCCAGGCACCCCTATGGTTTTAATTTCTTAAAACAATAAAGTATGCCACTATTTTATTTCCTTTCTACCATGGCAGTAATCCCTAATATTATAAACACATAAGAACCAAATTACTTGCTTTTCTCAAAATAATGTTTTCTGTCAGTTACTTAAAACAGGTTTTTCTCTGCTACATCAGAGTGATCATATCATTTCTTTTATATAAGAACTGAAGTGTTGAATTCCAAATTAATGGTAAATCTCATTTACTAAAAAACTAAAACTCCTGTGGGCCCCACTTCTGCAGACACCTCAAGAGACTAGAAATCAGTCTTAATGTTTGTTTTTCCTTTCTGATTCTACCAAACCCTTTAACATTTGACACAACTATTCAAACAAATCATCCAATATCAATGTGACTCATCTGTCTACTAACATCTATTGAGTGCTTACTATGTGCCAGGCATTATTCTCATTTCTCTAATATATTATCACATTTAATCATTGAAGACAGGTATTGTCCTTATTTTACAAATGAGAAAACTGAGGTGTACAAAAGTTAATAAACTAAGATCAAACTGCTCATAAGTTGTAGAGTTGAAATTTGAACCCAGACTGTATAATTCCAGAATCCTTAAGGAAGACTGCCAAAATGACATACATTTTCTCTTCTTGAAGAATATCACTGCCCTCCCACTTTTGAACCAAAAGTTTCTATTTATCTTCTTTTCTTCTTTTATTCTCAACTTTGTGATGACTTCCAAAACTCTTTCACCTCCCAAGGTTTAATGAGCTCTAGAGTAAGGATGCTTGCATTAAAATACTGGTTATGCCACTAGTC